AAGTGTGTTGTCCAGGTTAACATCCTTCCTAAGTAGTAACGTGGGATCTGAATCCACATCTGCCTCTCTCCTTTATGACATATCCCTTTTCCAATAGCCTCACGATACAGTTTTCTCTCTCTCTCTCTCTCTCTCTTTCTCATGCACTTTATGAACTTTACTCCCTTGGCACATCACACTGTGGAGTGGCCATACTGTGGAGTGGCTATATGGTCACAGTTACAAAAACAGAGCCCCTGCAACTGCCTCTTGTAATATCTGTTGTGCACACCCAGCCAGCTCCTTCCACATAATCAGGAAAGCAAATGCAGCCTCATTCTTGCCTCAGTAGCAGCAGATCAGAGATCAGTCTCCCCACGGGCCAAGCCCTGGAGTCATGCTGGAAACTGGAAACCCACACCGAGGACACCAATACCATGAAGTCAATTCGAATACTGCTTTCACCCTACAAGGCAGCAACTAGGGAGTTAGATAGGAATGAGTTTACAACTGAGATCTCTAGGAATGGAGATCAAGGACCCAACTGTTTCCAAGAAGCTCCTTGGCAGACTTTCCCTCACATTTAACAGATCAGAGCTGCATAAAATGTTCACGCCTGGAACACAGCAATGAAACTGAGAATGGCAATGGACGTACCCTGACTGGTAGGACTAATCTGCATTTCCTGCTGAACTGAATGTTAAGGTCAAGTTCCCAGATGGATAGCTGTCTAAATAAAATAGGGATTTTTTTTTTTTTAAGGGGCATAGATGTCAGGTTGGCAGCCAACCTCTTTATTTTATTAGCCCTTTATTTTAGTAGCCACTAAAATAAATTAATAGGTTACAGGAGAAAAGCCTAAATTGATATTTAAAAAGCAGTTCATGGGGCGCCTGGGTGGCGCAGTCGGTTAAGCGTCCGGCTTCAGCCAGGTCACGATCTCGCGGTCCGTGAGTTCGAGCCCCGCGTCAGGCTCTGGGCTGATGGCTCAGAACCTGGAGCCTGTTTCTGATTCTGTGTCTCCCTCTCTCTCTGCCCCTCCCCCGTTCAAGCTCTGTCTCTCTCTGTCCCAAAAATAAATAAACGTTGAAAAAAAAAAAGAAAAAAAAGCAGTTTATAAGATATTCTTTTTTTTTTACAAACCTAGGAATGGAGTGGCTACCTCCTTAGACTCATGGTACAATGGGAAATAGATATTTGGTATTTGTCCCAGATTCCTGGCACAGAGCTCCTAAAATCTCTGGACTCTCTGGAGAGACAAGAGTAGCTTTTATATGCCAATGATTTATTGGTGGCTGGGGGTCCCCAAATAGCCTCAGGATGGGAGTTGGTCCCCAAAAAGACCAAGGCATGATTAGAGGGTTGGAACTTTCAGCCTCACCTCTGGAACCTCTGGGAAGCAGAGAAGAGCTGGAGATTGAGCTTGGTCAATGATTTAATCAATCAGGCCTATTTAATCCACAAAATCTCCTACATTACAGGGTTTGGAGAGCTTCTGAGTTGGTGAACACTTCGAGGTGCCAAGAGGGTGGTGTACCCCAACCGCACAGGGACACAAGCTCCTGTGCTCAGGACCCTTCTGGACACTACCCCATGTACCTCTTCACCTGGCTGTTCCTTTATATCTCTTATAATAAACTGGTGATAGTAAGTAAAGTAGTTACTTTACTGAGTTCTGTGAGCTGTTCCAGCAAATTACTGAACTTGAGGAGAGGGGGTGTGTAGAAACCCCTGAGGTACTGTTTAGGTCCACTGATAGAGGATTAATTGAATGAATAATTATATTCTACCTAATGGAATATTATGTGATTATTTAATATGTTAATACATATTTCCGAAAATAAAAAATGTCCACGCTATACAGCTCAATGAACAAAGCACATTTCTACTCATTATGTATACAATATGATACTGTATTTCTGCCAAAGTAAAGCAATAGATCTATATCTGTGTGTGTGTGTGTGTGTGTGTGTGTATGTGTGTGTGTGTGTTTATACACACAAAAATAAATATAACAACGTGAATAACTGTTATAGCTGGCTCTGTAGATTGGGAAAATGGAATTCACGTCTTTTTTCTTCCCTGCAATACCACAGGATTTTTTTTTAAATTAAATATTTTTAAATAAAAAAAAAAAATCTCCATTTGAAATAAAACTAAAGATGTTGCAAGTCATTGTAAATCGACAGCCATAGGCTTTGAGAAGGAATGAAGGGAGGACAGAAGAAAACAAGTACCCTGGCCCATAAGATACCCTAGCTTCAGGATTTGGCTGAGTGCTTCATCATTCTATAGTTTAACTTGTTCTTCCCCACCTCCCCTAAACTTTTCTTATAAACTGGGTAGTTGGACGGATGAGGTCTGATGACTCTTTTGGCAAGAATCTTTCATTAATGGTGCCATATACTTAATGCAACATGTTGACACGTAAGAGGAGGAAAAAAGGAAACAGAAGAGGGGCTGTCAAAGAATAATAGAGACCTAAGGGGTATAAGAAGGAAATGTAATGCACATTATTTGGGTCATAACTCAAACAATCCAATGTTAAGGGCAACATTGCCAATATCAGAAAAAATTTGAATATGAATATGCACTGGGTCTTGGATCAAATAAAAGAATTATTCATTTTGATACATTTGAAAATGGCCTACTGGTTATGAATTTTTTAAATGACCTTACCAGTTAGAGATGCACAAGAGAATATTTACAAGTTTAAGGACAACAGGCCTTGGATGTGCTATGACATTCTCCAGAGAAAAACCAGAAGTGGCAGAGGCATGATGAACCTGACTGGCCATGAGTTGATAATTGTGAAAGCTTAGTGATGGGCATGAATTGTAATGTTCTCTCTACTCTGAATCTCCATGAAAAAAAGTTAAAAAGAAAAAAGTCATCAGGGCCTGATGACTTCTACATAAAGTTTACAGTACAGATGATTCTGGTATTATATAAACTCTCACAGATCACAGTAAAGCAGGATCTGTACTAATTGTATGAAGCCAGCACTTTAAAATACTAATCACTACGGGGCGCCTGGGTGGCTCAGTTGGTTGAGCATCTGACTTCAGCTTGGGTCATGATCTCATGGTTCATGGGTTTGGGCCCCATGTTGGGCTCTGTGCTGACAGCTCGGAGCCTGGAGCCTGCTTCAGATTCTGTGTCTTCCCTGCTTACTCTATGTCTCTCTCTCTTTCTCCCTCTCTCTCTCTCTCTCTCTCTCTCTCTCTCTCTCTCTCAAAAATAAATAAATATTAGGGGTGCCTGGGTGGCTCAGTCGATTAAGCGTCCGACCTCGGCTCAGGTCATGAACTCGGGGTTTGTGAGTTTGAGCCCCGCATCAGGGTCTGTGATGACAGCTCGGAGCCTGGAGCCTGCTCCAGATTCTGTGTCTCCCTCTCTCTCTGCCTCTCCCCTGCTCATGCTCTGTCTCTCTCTGTCTCTCAAAAATAAATAATGTTAAAAAAAATTTTTTATAAATAAATATTAAAATAACTAATCACTAGATTTTTTTAGAAAAAGAGAGAACTACATAGATGCTTGCTTATACATTGATTTTCATTCTTCCTTCTTTTTTTAAAATGTTTATTTTAAGACAGAGCACAAGCATGAGTAGGGCAGGGAGAGAGAAAGAATCCCAA